GAAATAAAGCTCCCTGAGCCAAAACCAACATACTGTGTGACTAACATCACCTCCTTAGAGGAAAGATAATGAAATTAAACTTGATTAATGCATACGAATGGCAACAGGCCGGGTTCGGGCCGGATATTGGTCCCCTGTCTCCGTTTAAAAAATATGTATTCATCCCCGCTTAAAAAATCATAGGAATTTAAACGGGGATCTCCATAAGATAATCGGGGAAAACCGCAGGGAAACGAATATCCCCGTTTAGCATAAAAGGTTATTTAAACGGGTATCGGGCCGAGTATCGGAACGGGTATATATATATTTAAATTAAATATATAAATATTATATATATATATATATATTTAAATTTAAATTAAATTTATTAATATTATATATATACTAATTATTTTTAATATTTATCGGGCCGGGTATCGGGGCGGGGATTACCGTCCCCATCTCCGTTTAGCATAAACGGTTTTTTCCCGTCCTCATCCCGTTTAATTCAGTTTTCGATTTTCCCCGTCGGTTTCGGATTTTTTTACCATCCCTATTAAAGCATGTTATTTCATAAATATTTGTTTATAATTATACATTTTCAAGATGAACACATGAGTATAAAATATTTCAATAACATAATGTTTGATAGTCATGAAAGGACAAAAGGAAGACATTCTATTTAAGGGTGAGCAAAACTCGACTCGACTTGAAAAACCAAAAGTTTGAGTCTAGTTCTTGGACTTTGTATGATATATGTACATCATGTATGAAAAAAAATATGAAGAAATGTATTTGTATTGTATATATATGGTTATAGAAAGTCACTTAAATTAGAATAAAATAATATTAATATTATAAATATTTTCAAATAAATTTAAACATAAACTCCAAAAATTGACTCGATTCGACTCGAATTTTATAAACTTGACTAGAAAAAATTTCAAATCAAGTCCGAGTTGTAAAAATAGGACTCGTCAACTCGAATAACTCAAAACTTTTTAATTCGACTCGATCGAACGCTCATCCCTAATTCTATTGATTATGAAATATGCTTTAATTTAAATATCCGATAACCTTATAAATTTACTTATTAACTTAGTTGGTATGTAATATGAACGGATCGTTATAAAAATTGTTCAACGAACCTCTTGAAAATGACTTAATTATTAGTTGAACATGTCAGAACGATCTTTAAGCTTTTTAGAGTTAAAAGGGGATCAAACTAATTTAATTTTAAAATTCAGGTTTTAGAAAATAAATTAATTTGGAGTTACCATCGACAGTTGGGTTAGGTAAGTTGAATATATAAAAATATTGTTTTAAATATTTTTTTAAGAAAAATTAAGTTAAAAGATAAAAATAGTATGTGTTTAACCAGAGGTTCATTTTTTAAGAGTTCGGGAGTCGGTTACGCATGGGAAATGATGAGCATCCCTACAACGTCCAAAATTGGTACCTACGCGATTATACGTCATCTGAATATTGAAACTTATAAATTCAAATATACTTTTAAATTATGATCCTTTTAGAAAAATTAAAAGGTGCATCATTTTGTACGGACATTCTTAGAAACACCTTCTTTGTCAGTCAAAGCGTATTTCTATAGATTCCTTATACAAAATAATAATGCCTTGATTTTTTAGAAAATAATATATATATTAAAATATTATTTTAATATAAGAAAAAAATATTATTTTGTTTGAGCAATCCTCAAGAACATAATCCTTCTTAGTTAAGAAGTGTTTTCATAGATTCCTCTCATAAAATAATATTGTCTTGTCTTTTAATAAATTACATATATGCGTATAATTAAAAATAATATTTAACATGGGAAATATATATACAAGTTACATATAAAAAAAATAAGGTATAAAAATATAAAGTATAGGGACTAAATGGGCATAAATATAAACATGTTAAAGAGTAAAGACTAAAATACAAATAAAGTAAACCACATGCACTGGAAATGAAATAAAGACCATTAATAACATGAAGGGCTAAAATAAAATAAAACATAATATAAAGCTCAAAATTAAAAATAAGCAGAAAAGTAAATGTTGGATTCTGGAATTTAAAAGGACTGAATTGTAAATGTTGAAAATTTAAAGACAGAAATTTAAAGTGTAGAGATAAATAAAATGACAAAAAATAAAATTGAAAAAAAATTAATATTTAAAATTTTAATTGAGATGGTAATAATGAGAGTCGTACCCAGGACAGGTCAGCGTAAGATCTACAATGGTTCAAATACGAAGAATAAAAGTGAGTGGTTAGTAGTTTTAAAAAATAAAAAGTCAGAAGTTAGTGGTTATTAGAGTTAGAATTTTAACCCTGATCGCAATAACGCATATCGTATCTTGGGATGGATCATTACAAGATCGTATGATTGATTCGAACACAAAAATAAAAAAAGTTAGTGGTTAGTTGTTAGAAGTTAGAAAAGTCAGTAGTTAGAATAATAAAAATAAGTCCGCATCATAATAATGTAGGTCATATCCCAAATCAGGTCACCACAAGATCACATAATAGAAATGGTGACTATTTTGTAAAAACAAGCCTAGAGTTAAGGGGGTTATACGTGATTTTTCCTAAAATTTTTCTAATTACCAAACTTGACTTCACTGCCTCTCGATCAAACACCTCCTTACTCATTTGAAATGTTGTTGCATCAAAACCTCTTATAAACTCGACTTGATATCATTAAGATAAGGGGTAAGTAAAACTCGACTCGATTCGAAAAATTAATTTTTTTACTTGACTCGAGAAGACTCGGATTGAAAAACTTTCAAGTTCAAATCGAGTTGTAAAATATAACTCGAATAATTCGAATAACTCAAAAAATTTAGTAATTAGTGAATTGATTTTAAAATTTGAATTGAGCCCCTCGAATATGTATGATATATATATAACACATATGAAAAAATATATATGACATGAATAGGTTATAAAAAATCATTTAAAACGGAATAAAAATATTATAATAGTATAAATATTTACAATTAAATTTAAACAATAACTCAAAAATTCAGCTCAACTCGAATTTTATAAAATCGACTAGAAAAAATTGCAAGTCAACTTCAAGTTGTAAAATAGGACTTGACAACTCAAATAACTCAATTTTTTGACTTAACTCGATCGAACACTCACTCTTAATTAAGATAACAGATAAGATAATACAAGAAAATGATTAAAAATTGTATAATAGATGATGTAAGAATTAAGCTATAATAGAGGAGTAACGAGACATTAAATCAAAATTTTAATATCGATTTGGAATATGAGTCAATACGAGTCCACCTTAAAATTTAGTGTACAAAAATATCAAAAATCTTAGTAATTTAGTTATATTCTTGTAACGATATAACTAAATTATTTTAGTAGTTAAAGAGATGATTATTGCCCTTATAGATTCGAGTTGAAACACCAATCTTTGGAAAAAAAAAAGTGTTTGATTGTTGTCAAATGATTCAGAATTTTTACAATAAATATTAAGTGAAATCGAATTTGATTGAATAGTCAATAGGTAGTGCAAATAGGGGTGGGCATTGGACCCGAACCCGACGGGTTTCGACCCGATTCGATCAGATTGAGTTTTTTTTTTAAAAAAAGGAGGTTCGGGTCGGGTTTTTAAGTGAGATGTTCGGTCAGGTTCAGGTTTAGGGTGAAAAATACCCAACCCGACCCAAAAAATATAATTTATCTTATATATTTAGGAATAATTACAATAATACCCCTATATATATTTTTTTCAATTAAGTCACTGTTTTTATTGAATAAAAATAATATTTTTATTATTATTTCGGGTTGGGTCGAGTCGGGTTTCTAAGTTATATGTCGGGTTGGGTTCGGGTCGGGTGAAATTTTGTTTTGGTCGGGTCGGGTCTCGGTGGAGGGTCCTTTATTCTCGGGTCTGGTCGGGTGGACCAAAAACCCGACCCGACCCATGCCCATCCCTAAGTACAAATCCATGGGGCTTGCTGATAACTGGGCTTTTACTCGAAAATATATCTATTATCAACAATAGTATTTTTTTGGTTAAAATAGTATAAATAATATTTTTTTCAAAATTGCATTCTCACGTTTGATTTGTCATCATTTCTTATCTTGGTGCATTTCTGAATTGTTATTTGTAGATTAGATTTTGGAATCGTTTCACACACTATTTTAAGTATTTTTTATTAAATTTATTAATTTATGTTTATATTAAGTTTTACATGGTATTATTAGATTTATCATATACTAGAAAAATCAAGTAAAAAAATCTAACAAGTTTAACAAGCAATGAGTCGAATAAGTCGAGTCAAGCAGTGACTCGAGCAACGAGTTGAACGACAAGCACAATCGAATTTTTTTTATCAAACTTATTAAATATCAATTCGAATTAAACAATTTCCGAATTGAATCAAAACTTCTTAACTCGCGGTCAAATCGCTTGATAAACAACCCTATGCCCCATCCTCAAAATCAAATGCCATCGACTCCTTTTCTCTATAGAAGTCTTGTTTCTGGTAAGATGAGAGTGGTGATTGAATGGCGCGTAATTTTAGCATGAAATCTTATCCGTTCATTTGCTAGAGATCCGGTCTGATGGTGAATTTGGGGAAGACAAAGGGAGGAGGTGTAGGAGACGGGCAAACGTAAATGTTCATGCAACAGACAAAATTAACGTACTAGTCTCAGTTGCTTCAAATGGTACCATCTAGGATGGATGGAAATTTCAAAATCGATACTCTAGGTACTTAACAATGTTGACGAAAAGAATTCATCGATTGACTTCAATGGTAAAAAAAAATATTATTTTCGTTAGAGAATCTAAATTCGAACAACTACATCTACAAATATATGTACGTTGTCAATTACTAAGAAATATTGTTAACAAATACTACATTATGATTATGGCAGACTATTCAAAAGAATGTGTTAGTGAAGTGGCCACTTACTAAACCATGATTCTTGAGCTTCTTCCCATGCCAGAGTATCATAGCATGATGCAAGACCCTTATTCTATAATCAAAAGCTATTCTATTCTGACCATTCAAGAGTTACCCCAAACCTCGAAAACTCGAAAATAGACCATAAAACGGACATGGAACATGCTCGGAAAAATAAAAATTGCGCTACGATTGCCTTTTGGTGATGATGAATGTAACATTTAATATCAACATGAAAGGGGGTGTCGAAGACGAGGTTCGGTCAAAATACGTATCTAAAATATGGTGTGCGTTGGCACGAAAAAGAAAATTTTGTTTTTCTTCAAAACTTCAACCTCAATGAGAGTTCCTTGTCTTCTTGGCGGTGAACAATTGACGAAGGAAACCAAACTTACCCTTTGTTCGAGAGGATAACTCCGTTATGGCTCCGCTACTTGTTTCTGCAGTCTCGCTGGTGTCGGATTCGGGTACGGAAGGTGAAGGAGGTGTGAGCGTGAAGAGAAATGCATTCAGCATACGCATTATCTGGCTGAAACTGGGCCTCATGTTAGGGTCCTCGACCCAGCATGACTGTAAGATAAACGCCAGCTCGGGGGATATATCGTCTGGAAGGCTAGGTCGCTCTTGCTGCACACTCGTACGGCATCAAACTGATTAGTTATCGGTGATTTTGAACAATTTATCATGCATAACAGAATATGCAATAAAGACTTGCACCTTAAAAGCAGCGGCATAAGCTGCCTGTAAATTCGACATGCCCTCGAATGGCATTCGATTGGTCAACAGTTCCCATAAGACGATTCCGAAGCTGTAGACGTCAACTTTGTTATTGTAATGCTTTTTCTCTCCCCGACGCAACGTCACCGTGCTATACAACTACAATGACACGAACCGAAAGAAAGACCAGAGTTAATTCTACTAATAGAGATTAAAACAAACGATAACCACGAGAAGACGACGAAGAAAACTGCCCGACATTATTGTCAGTTGTATGTCCAAAGCTCAAACAGGCGTTGAAGAGGTTAATGAGTACTTTTAATTCTACTAATCCGGCCATCTACTGAATATAACACTACCAGACAATCCATGAATCTATGGCTATTCGATTTATAAAAAAGACTTGAGGCCTCTAAAGAACATTCAAAGACTTGAGTATCGAAAACAACAAGATGAAATCGAAAACAAACAGATTCAATTTTCATTGTAAATAAGTTTCTTTTTCCGTTTTACTAATGCAATAATGGCACGAACCTCAGGGGCCATCCAACGATAAGTTCCGGTCTCTGCAGTCATCATCTCTGTCACGGTTTCTTCCCTCGCAAGACCAAAATCTGCGAGTTTCACAGACCTCTGGTTTGCAGTAAGCAGCAAGTTGTCTGTATTATTAAATTTCCAAGTAAGGGTTCAGTCAAAGGACTCGAGAAATCCACACTGAACTATGAACAATGTATTACATCAACGAAGAAGGATGTTCAAGAAATACCAGGCTTTAGATCCCTATGTATAATCCCATTGGCATGCAGACAATCCATGGCTCGGGCGATGTCCAGTGCAAAATTCAAAGCCATGCGGAGGTCCAAAGCCTTCGGACGGATGCTAACCAAATACTTCCGGAGGGACATTCCGGGTAACAGCTCGGTTACTATAACCATCAGCGGGTCCTTACAAGCTCCAAAGAACTGCCAAGGCAAGAAATCGATGAAAACGACAGATTCTATCAAGTCGTATTTAGCATTTCAAGCTTCGAACAATCACCTTGACAAGGTTAACGTGTTTCACTCGAGACATCATGTTAACCTCACGAACGAAACGACTCTCGAGCGCAGCCCTTTCCTCGGCCGTCCTCCCACGGTGAAGAACTTTAATCGCAACAATCCGTTCACCATACCTGGAAAAATATTAGACTCACCCCTATGTAACTAGAGAGCAACCCTCGATGCACAATCTAATTTTTTTTTTTTTTACAAATTTCCATCACCATCATTCATTTCCAAAAACACAATAAACAAGTTATAATTTCTACGAAATTCTTACAGAAACAATAACAATGTTCTTCATATATTGACTGTTCCTGTTACATCCACACAAGCATATACATATACATACATATGAACTCTAAAAGATTGTTTTTTTTTTTTAATTTGGGATAATTGACAACAAAAGTTACCACTAGGTGTTTTGAAACTGACCTTCCTTCGTAAACTTTGCCGTGAGCTCCTTCTCCGATTTTGGAGCCGACGAATAACAATTTCGGGTCAATGAGCAAATTTCGATCGATGGTCAACTCTTGAGCAGCCGTCATCGACCCGTTGGAAACGACGACGTTTCCTGTTTCTTCTTCGTTGCAACTCATAGTTTCTAAATTATTCCAGAACTCGTCATTTCAACCAATAAAATCTTTTTTTTTTTGCTAAAAAAAATATTTCTTTCTTTCTTTCAATCTTCCACATCAGCTTCAAAGCTCAAACCACCGAACCTCATAACAATCCCTCTGATTCCAAGCCATCCAATTATGCTCTTTTTATATAATATCCTTCCTCTTATTTTTTTTCTGGAATTTGGGTCGAGCTCAGAGGTTCTGCCTTTGAAGATAATGGCCAAAAAAGGAAATGAAACCCTAGGAAAGGAGAAACAAGATGAGGCAAAAGCAACTTACAGTCCAAGCAAAAATAGGCCAAAAAGATAAAAAGGTGAAGAGGCTTAAGCTTTCACTTGAAACAGAGAATCTTCAATATATATATATCGGATTTAAACTGAAAAATAAACAAATAACAAAAAGAAAGAAAAAAAAAAGAGGAGCTTTGTGGCAGTTGGTTTGCTCTTATCTAAAGCAAGAAGCTTTTCCGATGAAGATTAAATATTCTGCGATTTTCCGACGAGATTTTTCTAACTTAATTAAAGTGAAAATCGGAAATTATATTAATAATAGTAAACGAGATGGGAAAGGGAAAGGGCGAGAGAGGCGGTGTTTTGGAGAAAAGTGAAGGACCAATTAAAGAACGACACGTGGATACCACAGCTTCTTTACCTTTTCACAGCATCAGAGATTTTGACGTGGCTGGTCCAGGATGGGGGCTTTGATGGAGTTGTTGTACGGACAAGCAGGCTCCCTACCTCAGCTCGGCTCGGCTTACTTGTCTCTCTCTTTTTATTTTACCTCGTGTTGATTATTATAATCAAATGAAATAATTTTGGAGGAAAAAATTGAAGACATTATTTTAGTCATTATCCCCAAAGTTGACTCTATTTCATCCCTATAAATTATAAAGTATGATATTTTAATTTATTCGATTTATTTTGATGAGAATATAAAATTATAATGTTAAATTAAAAAATAAGTCTATCTAAAATAGATTTTATTAAATTATTATTGTAATATTTTTTAAAATTATTTAAATATATGTAAGAGGATTTATCAAAAATTTTATTATACTATTTAACTTTTTTTTTAAATATTCAATATATTATTTATATATATAATTTAAATATTTTTTATTTTCTATTAATAATTCGTTTTTATCCTTTAAATTTTACAAACTCATCTCCTAAAATTTTATAAGCTAACCAGTCCTATTATAAAGCCATGGTTACGTACCTAATCATAATATGCAATAAGACTTTAAATTTTTTTAGTGATTAAAAATAATTGTTTAAATTATTTAGATAACGTAATTAAAAAATAATATCCGAGAGAGGTGTAGCCAATGTTATGGGATAATGTTTCCCAATTTTTTAGTTCCCCAGATAATGCATCCTGGGAATTATTTCCCAGGATATGCCGTTTGTTACAGTAAACAGTGAAGACGCAGTGTAAACTTTGCGATTTGTCGAAGATATCAGGATTTCTACGCGTCTTCAAACCGAACCCAATCACAATGAAGACGCCTTGAAGTCGAAATCAGTGGATTGTTGCAGCAAGGACTGGAGGCCAGCCTTGAAGACGCACGATAGTCCCGGCGTCTTCACCCTCAAGACGCACGGATTGCCAGGCGTCTTCAACAAAGTGTATCGATTGCTACGCGTCTTCACGAGCCACTATAGCAAATGGCATACACTGGGAAATAAAAATGAGAGTGCATTATTAGGGGAATTAATTTTTCCCAATGCATTATCTTGGCCATTTGGTCTATGTGTAATAATAATAATAATAAAATTATTATTTAAATAAATCTAATCCTTTTAAGTATTAAATTAATATAAAATAAAAATACTTAATAAAATACATTATAAATAATGAATTATTCAATTAAAAGATAAATAATGAATTAATTAATATGAATAAAACTCATTAAAAATTGTAATTTTATTCAAAATGACAATAATTGACATAAAATATTGAGAATACAATTCTTGGAATCTTAAATAAAAAAAAAGTAGCGTTGATGATATTCTTTCTCTTGTGAGTATGACTTAGAAGAGACAGATCACAAGCTGTTCTCGATCGATTAGGTTAGAGGTCGGTAAATGCTCAATTCGAATAGACTTGAGTTTGACTCAAGTTCTAAACGAGCTAAAATAAATTATTTGATATTTGACTCGAAAATATAATATATTAAGATTTTATTTTTTTAAAAATAAATTATTAATAATATTATCATTTATGTGTTGATTTTTTTAAATACAATATAAGGTTTTCATGTATGTAAGGTTTAGGCTCAAGTTCGAGTTTGAGGCTTTAATCGAGTTAAGTTTAAGATTTTTTCCGAGCTTTTGCGAGATTTTATTCATGATTTCGAGTTTGAGTCAACTTAAAAATTTTAGGCTCTCTAATTTTCGAGTCGAGTCAAGCCCCACAATACTCGAACTCGACTCAGCTTGTGAGATTGAGAGAAAACCAACTATGAATATATGATTTCAAAAGATATTATTACAAGTGGTAATATTTATTTGAACGAAACACTCTATAAGACTAAATTTATTTTTTTAGTAATATGGATTTTATTTTAGTGTGTAATTCGATGACTTGTTCTATTAGTTCAATTATATATCTCAATTTGGTCTTAAAATTTAATTTCATACCCAAATTGTTTCTAAATTAAATACTTGAACTTGTCTTTTAGATTCAAATTGATATTTAGATTTAATTCAATAATTGAAATAAATCATTTACCACAACTACTAATTTAGAAAAAAAATTAAATATATATATTAATTTGAATTAAAAAGATAAGTTGAAGTACTTAACAAGGGGAGTTATGTTGCGTGACAACTTAATTTAAGATTAATTTAAGACGGTTTTAATCTAAAATATTATCACATTTAATTTAAAAATTATATAAATTTATAATATTTTCGGTTAGAATAAAAAAGTTACATTTTTGAGATCTAGGGCTCATAATAAAAAAAGGTTTTACAAATTTGTATTTTTTTTTGTTGAAACCAAAAATAATATGAAAAATATAATATTTTCAATTTTAATTTAAAATGTTAATTAGTTAGTCTACAAAGTTATGATTTTGATAAAAAAAAATCGATTATAATTAATTTTTTATTCTTATATTAATAGGTTTGTATTTTGAAATTTTCGATTCAATCAAAAGGAGTGGACCCACAAGTCTCAATCAGCAGCCATCGGATTAGAAAGAAAAACAGAGTAGGGCCCAAGGCTCGGACAACTCTCATCTCTCAATATCATTCGTGTGAAACACCCTCTTCCATGCCCTTTTTTGTCCATTTGTCTTAATGTTGTTTAACACGTGCCGAAATTTAAAAATAGAATAAAATTAATATATTTCACTATTTATGCGATAAAAAAATGACTTGATGAAGACCGTAACACGTCATGGATCTTTTGGAGATATACTCGAATGCCCTCAGCAGTTACCACGTGGCCTGAGAATTATACCTCAGACAACCAAAACTCGCATTTGTTGAACTTTGCATACAATTGACAATTTTTAAGGTGCGCTTAGTTCACGGAATGTAAGATTATCGGTAGGAATAAAAGATTATTAAGAAATAAGATTACTGAAAATATTATATTTTGTGTTTGGTTAGTTTAGCAGGAATATAAGATTACCGTGTTTGGTTAAAAAAATATTAATATATATTTGACCAAATTATCTTTATTATATATATATATATATATATTAACAAGTTAAAAAATATTTATATATTTTCTTTAAAAAAATTAAATTCATAAAATTTATATATATTTTTTATAAAATTAAAAATATAAAAAGGTTTAATGAAATAGTAAAATTTTATTTTAACCCCTGAACTTCATATAAAATTTTAATTATAGAATTTTTTGTAAATCTAAAATAGTTTAAGGATAAATTTATAATTTAACTTTCGTATAATTTTTATTATTCAATGACATAATAAAGATATTTTTGAAAGAAAAGAAAAATAAGGGCATTTTAGTCAAAAACACCGGTAATCTAACAATACCTAAGGAAAGAGAGATAATAACATTCTCGATAATATACCCAAAAAATTTACTATTGGTAATGTAAGATTATCGGGAATGACATTCTCACCAACCAAACGGGAGAATGTGAACTCCATTCCTATAAAAATTTCACATTCCCCCAACCAAACACACCCTTAGTGTTTGGAGCACAATTCGAAGATGACGATCGTGGTCCTCCTTCGACCAGGAGTACACTAAAATATCGACTATAAACACCACGATGAATTTATCCAAATAAAGGTGGAACACCCGATTCATTAAATCTATAAAGATGATAGGTGCATTAGTAAGCCCAAATAACATCACTAGGAGCTCGTAGTGGCCATATCTAGTCCTGAACGCCGTCTTGGCCACTTCCTTGTTCTTGACTTTCAGCTGGTAGTATTTTGACCTTCAAATTGTATGTTTTTTATTTTGAAATTTAATAATTACTCGTCCAACTCAGTTGGTAAAGCGCAAGACTCTTAACCTTGTGGTCATGGGATGGATCGAGTCTCACGGTGGGCAATTCATAATTCTGACTGTCGGAGGTCTCTCACGGAAGCTGCTCTCAACGTGGCGTTTGGGACAACCTACTATCCTACCTCCCCCTTACCCAATTACACATGAGAATAAGGTCAGCTAATTTTTATTTTAAAATTTAAAATTTCTATCATATTAATATTTAATCTATCATTTTATTCTATGTCCAAAAAAGTAACAAAAATTTTTTTGTTGAAAAAGTTGGAATTAAAAAAATAACAATTATAGTAAGAATATGATACGTTGGCAGATCTAGGAATTTAAGAATAGGATCTAAAATTTTAATTTTCTTTTCTTAAAAATAATAGGAATACAAAAATTATAATTTTTTCTTTTTTCCTTAATACATTAAGTTAAATTTAATAAATTTTTAAAATAATATGATACACTTGACCCCTATGGGGGCTTAGTACATCCGTCATTGCGTTATAGATAAACCATCTATATAGGTCAATAAATACATGGTTAGTTTTCATTGACTGGAATTATAATTACTTTTAATTTCGTTAATTTAGATATCAAAGATAAAAAAAATAAATATACTAAAATGAGAGAAGAAGAAGAAATTAAGGGTTAAACGATAAATAAATTGAAAGTTGAATGAGGGGATTATTCCATGAACACCGAATCGAATCTGATGAGTTTCGATTCAACCTAACTGATTGGGTCAGATTTTTTTAAAATTTGGATTGGATCGAGTAGGGTTAATTTTATAGACATTGTGTTAGGGTTGAATTGAGTTCGGATTAGAGTTAAAAATATTTAATCCTGAAAAATTATAATTTTATTTTATACATTTAAAAATAATTACAATAATAATCACCAATAT